AATTATCCAGTGCCTTATCTTCTTCTCGTCTCTTCAACTTCTAATCTCGCCAAACTTTTTGCGAGAGCTCTTTGCGCCGATGGAAAGTGCAAAAGCAGACTGCCCTCGAGGGAATTCGCCTCCGCCGCTGTCGCCGCCGTTACCGGATTGAACCGGTCGAACATCGTACAGAACTTGTCCACTACCACCACCACCACCACTTAGTCGCATCTAGTCACTCTTCTTGTCACCCTCATCTCTCCCACACATCTCCAGCGTGTGACATTCAATGGAAAAGATGATCATCCTGTGTTTGCGTTGCAACAGCAGTGGCAGCCGTTGGAGTATCGTCTGGTCGTCGTTGCCATCGCTGTCATCATCGCTGTCGCCGTTGAAAGCTCTAAATGGCACTACTTCAGCTGCAGCAGCAGTGTCCAGACATCACCCTAGTCATCACCATCAGCCGCTGTTATTGCATCGAGGCTATCACCAGCAAATAGTACATGGAAAGCAGCAGTGGCCGTCATCCTCTGCCGTCGCCGGTTTCATCCCTCCTTCTTCGTCATCTCCATCATCTAGCAGTGGCGGCACTCTAATTCCCCATCCCCTCAATGCCTTTTCATGCACTAATCATCATCAACAACATCACCACCATCCACATCAGAATGGGATCAGCAAGCCGACGAGCACTTTAGCAGCCGTTTATTGCCCGACTCATAAAATACCATCATCAGCAGCAACAGCATCAGCAACAAGAAGCAGCAGCTTTGCAATATGGCACCAACAGCAGAAACGAAGCTACTGCAGCACTAGTCGGACAGAGTGTCCACCAGTTGTTGTTTCACCAGTGGTTAGCGGAGCCACCTTTCCTGGTTACGCTGGTCATTATCAGCAGCGGCGACACTTGCACCGGCCACCGAAGAAGGACATCACCTGCAGCGGAGGTGCCTCTCAGCCTGATCATCCACTTCATCTTCAGTCGACCAGCCGCCCAGCGAGCTCCCTCTCAATGGCCGAACAAAGCGCCGTACAAAGTTCTCACGTGGAAAGTGGAGATGCCCTGAAGAGCAACCAAAACCTCGTTCAGCTCTCTCAGGTGCGTTCTCTTGTTTCTCAACCCCTCTTTCCCTTAACTTTGTTTTCTCCCTTCTTCTTCTTCTTCTTCATCTTTAGATCGACTACAAGACGGCGATTCAGCTGCTGAACCAGCTGCAGACGAACGCGGAGAACATCGCCCAGGCGATTGAGAAGGAGAGGAGCAGCAATGTGGTGCGCTCGCTGGAGAAGACGCGCTACTTTCTCTCGCTGCTGGACATTACGCCGGAGCGGCTGAACCGCCTGCGGGTGATCCACGTCGCCGGCACCAAGGGCAAGGGCAGCACCTGCGCCTTTGTGGAGAGCATCCTGCGCGGCCAGGGCCTGCGCACCGGCTTCTACTCCTCGCCGCACCTGGTCGCCGCCCGGGAGCGCATTCGCCTGAACGGCGAGCCGCTCAGTGAGGCGGCCTTCACCGAGGCCTTTGCCGCCGTCTACGGGGCGATCAGGGGCGGCAAGTCGGCGGACACCTCCATGCCCGCTTACTTTCTCTTCATGACGCTGATGGCCTTCCACGTCTTTCTCCGCGAGGCCGTCGACGTGGCCATCCTCGAGGTGGGCATCGGCGGCGAGTACGACTGCACCAATGTGGTGCCCCGGCCGGTGGTGACTGGGGTCACCAGCCTCGACCTCGACCACACGAAGCTGCTGGGGGAGACGATCGAGGCGATCGCCTGGCAGAAGGCGGGCATCTTCAAGGAGGGCGTGCCCGCGTACACCGTCCAGGGACAGGCGGAGGGGGCGATGGCCGTGCTGGCGGAGAGGGCCAAAGAGCGCCGCTGTCCGCTGCTCGTTGCGCCTCGATGGGATCAGTATCCAGTTGAAACTGATGGTGCTGAAGGAGGCTTCAGTTTGGGTATAAACGGTAGTGCATGCTCTTCTTTGTCTTGTAGTGAACTTTATGTGTAACTTGAAGGTGTCTTGAACTCATCTCTGATTGTCTAACGCTTGTTTACTCTTTTTCAGGTGAAGTTCAGAAGATCAACGCCTCTCTGGCTGTACAGCTCGCCAACTGTTGGCTGGTGAGCTGTGGTAAGCTGAAGAATGGAAGTGGCGTTGATGAATTGAAGACAGCTGCTGCCGCTGGACCTGCTGTCATCACGGAGATTGAGCCCTCCTTTCGGCAGGCACTGGCCACCACCAAGTGGTTCGGCCGCTGTGAGGTGATTGAGCCACCGGAGGGGGACGGAGCAGCCCTTCCCATCACTTACTTTCTCGACGCGGCCCACACGCCCGACTCGATGCAGAACTGCCGAGACTGGTTCGAGTTGGAGAGTGGCGGACGGCAGAGAAGACAGGAAAAGTCTACCACCGCCGACAACAAAGCCGCCGACGACGACGCACTGAAGCCGTACCGCATTTTGATCTTCAACTGCACCGGCGACCGCAATCCGCATCCACTGCTGAGCAAGCTCAATGAGCTTCCCCTCGACATGGCGCTCTTCACCACCAACAGCGTCCACGGCGACAAGGCGGCCAGCTCGGATGTGGCCAACTTTACGGTCACCTCGGAACGGGAGCGGGAGATTACCGCGGCAAACTGCCGCGCAATGGCCGCCATCACCGCCGGACAGCAAGGCAACCGCCGTCTCAAGTTGGCCACGGTGGACTGCATTAGCGAAGCGATCGCCGCCGTGCAGGCAGAGGCCGCCGAGGTGCAGAGTGTACAGGGTGGACGTCGTCCCGTACATGTGCTCATCACCGGCAGTGTCCACTTGGTCGGTGGCTTTATTGGATTGCTGCATCCTCTATTCCGAGCCGTCGATGAGAGCAGTGCAAAATCGACCAGACTGTGATTGATCGTTCGATCACCACATCAATTGCAATTGTTACCTCAATCAAGTTCTATTTTTTCAACTGTCTTGTTGTTTAT